ACACACAAAGAGGCCCTCAAGACGTCCTCTCAAAGGGATAGGAAGCCTGGTCAAGGAGATAGAACTCCTATAGACTATAGCCACTCCCCCTCCCCGACCCTCCGAGCAACATTGGTGCTGGACCGAGTACCCAGGGAGAGGGGAACATTACCCTCCTCTCCCACCCAGGTCTCAGTAGTACACACCAGGTCAGCACCCTCATCCAGAATTACACCATGGATGAGGGCAGTCTTGTTTTGTACTGACCTAGCATTCATCAACAGCACCGTATGGCTCAAGGGTTTGCTGATATGATCACCTGATACCATCTGGTTGGGCATAGGACTAGAAGAGGGGATAGATGTAAGATATCTAACCTCTCTTCCCCTACATGGGCATGTTCTACCTCCACCGCCATTCCTTCCCCTACCCAGCACCACCTCAATGGCTGCCCCGAAATCCACTGTTGGTCTCTCTTAATTGATGACAATAATCACAAAACAAAAAAAAAACAAAAAAACAAAAAAAAAACCTTCTAAAGCCCTTCTCCCCCCCCCAGCCAGGTGGCTGATATTGAGGAGGGGGTGGGGCAGCCAGGAGGAGGAGGGCCCAGTCCTGCAGAAGGAGGCCACAGTCCCATTGTCTCTCACCCAGTGACCTGTAGTAGGCAGAAGGTCTTTGACTCTCCGAAGCACAGGAATGCTGGTCCATTTAGCAATAACTGGTATTTTCCCTAGGTTTGAAAAGGAGTGCAGAATAATGGAAGGAAGCAAAAGGGGGCAGCAGGAGAATGGTGTGTGGATGGGGAGGAAATACTGATGACATCAGTGCAGAACCTGATATTTAAGGAGAACAAATCTAGATGAGTCCTTTCTTTTCTTTTCAAATACGCATGCAAACTGTTGTTTGGCATTTAAACTCAACACCAAGACATTTGCCCTTGAATTCAGTCAACTTCTGAGAAAATCTTGGGAACTGTGAAACATATTGTTTTCTGTTAAATTCAGGTCCTATACTTGACATAGTGACATGGTGGTGCTGCAGGTTAAACTGCAGAAACCTCGGTGCTGTAAGGTCTGTAGATCTTCAGCTGTAAGATCAAATCCACGTGACGAAGTGAGCGCCCGTTGCTTGTTCCAGCTCCCGCCAACCTAGCGGTTCGAAAGCATGCAAATGCGAGTAGATAAATAGGGACCACCTCAATGGGAAGGTAACAGCATTCTGTGTCTAAGTCACACTGGCCATGTGACCATGGAAGATTGTCTTCGGACAAAACACTGGTGGCTCCGTGGCTTGGAAATGGGGATGAGCACCGCCCCCTAGAGTTGAACACGACTGGACAAAAATTGTCAAGGGGAACTTTTACCTTTACCTATACTTAACATATATCAGGCATTAGGTATGTTTTATACATGATATGGTTTTCTTCAAAAGTTGGTATGAAATTGTTTTATAATTTGGTGTTTTAGAGGTTGTGACAATCATTGCAAATTTCTAACTCAAGAGATCATATAGATTGACATAGCTTTTCTTACATCTTTCCAGAGTTTAGCATTTCATAAACTAGGCATGGAATCCAGACTCATAAGTGCAAGCACTGCCTACAAAGATCCTGGTTCTGGGCACCCTACGCGCTCCTTCCTGGCACAACAACGGCATGTGAGCAACACACGGAGAAATCTGTCAGTTAAAGTACCTCCTGCAACCTCAGATTAAACTGCAGGGGATATTCATGCACTCAAGTGTCCTTAACTTATTTTTTATGTCTGTTTTAAACTCCCTGACAAGGTATAAGATTGTGATGCTGGGCATCAGATATTTTACTTGCAAGAACCATAGGCTGGTAAATTTAATTTGGTCAGCTATCTGTAAGAAGCAATGCAGAGCTAATAACTTTTCCTAGATTTGAAGTGGATTTGAGGTGTATATTGATAAGCACAACTCCTCAAGTATCTATATTTGTCTTCACTATGTGTTTTGTGTAAAAATACCAAAATTGGGATTGTATTTAAAATTTCATGTAATGTTTTCAATCAACAGTGATTACTGATTTTAATGGGAGTCAGTTTCGTTATTGGTGTCTCATCAAACAAAGTATTTTCCTTTTCTGTCCCCAGGGTTATCTTTAAATTTATATATATAATGTGGTCCATTCTCGGCGAGATGCAGTGTGTTCAGGAGTAGCACAGGGAAAGGAGAGCTCTGGCACATGCTGCTTTGAAGGCTGCATGCAGATGTTATAGGCACGGTGTATCTGGATCTTACCGTACTGTGACTAGAGACTGGATTGTGCCATAAAATTAGCCACCTGATGGCATGAAAATACTTATATAGTAGGGGGTGGCCCTATTAGTCTGCTGCAGCACAAAAGTTAGAGTCTCTTGGAACCTTGAAGATGGAAATATTTTATCTAGCATAAATGCAGAAGTGAGCTGGAGGCCACAGAAACTTACACCAAATAGAACATTTTATTCTTTCCAAGACCACAAGATTCTACTGTTTATACTTAAGGTGGTTACTGTTTTGTGTTTGTACTTCCAGATTAACAATGTTCTAAGATGCCCCATAGTAACTACTAAGCAGCTCTTTAAAGCCTTTTCAAATGCTTTTTACATGCATATATAATGAAGATAGTGATAGAGAACAAAATAAGCAGGAAAGAACATTACAGATCTTTGCATTCTGTCTGATAGAAGGCACTACAGCACCGTTTCAAATCAACGGTCAATATTGTTCAGTCTGTTAGGGTATGATAATCCCAAACACAAAAACTGAGTGTGAGTGCATGTTCATTGGCTGAAAAATGCATGCTTTCCAGGTGGACTTAGTGCTTAAAAAAAACATAGAACTTCACACGTCCAAAGTGAACTATATAGAATTTACCTTTTTAAAATATTTGCAAATGAAATATGATGATGCAATGGTAAACTTTTATTGCAGATAATTTACACACCACAAAGTGTAGAGTTGTGAGGCTTTACGTTTTTTGTAACAATGGCTGAAACTCTGTTGCTTGACATAGTAAGTGGCAGCTAGATTAGGCCCATTAAATTAGTAGGGATTTGGTGAGTCAACTCCATACATTTTCTTGACTGAAGCAGGCCAAAGTGTTGTGATCTACTGTGTAAAATACCATGATGTCTGCCATTCTGAAGCTATAGATTCCCCTCCCCCCGGTCCCATTTTATCAAAACTGACCAAAAATCTGGTGCATGCAAACTGCAGTATTATATCCTTTTGTGTAGAGGTTTAAAACTGTAAGTCTTCATTATTGTTTTTTAAAATGTAACACTATTTCTGGACAGTGCAATCTGGTACTCATTATTGTTTTTTAAAATGTAACACTATTGGGAAAGTTTCTGGACAGTGCAATCTGGTACATGTTTACTCTATTACAAGTCCTACTGAATTCAGTATGACTTGCTCATCTGTAGAGTATTTCAGATTGCTCCCTGGGCACATTGCATTCAGAGTCTCCAGTCTTTCAAGTTCAGTTTTTTAAGGGTTTCATAAGTTTGTTGACTACCTCTGGGGGTTCAAGACCTTTCTATTCTGCTGTTTCAGTTTTTGCTAGCTTGCTGAATTCTTTCCTTGGTCTGCAATTGCAGGGAGAAATGGCCAATACAGATTTTGTAGTATGGTGTTATAATACTTTGATATATTGTAAGCAAGTGTGGTTCTAATTGCAATGAATATACATTTAACTTCAAAGAGCAGGATTCATAAGCACAATAGACTTCTTTGATGAATTCAAATAGAAGTCTGTGTCTCTGTTAGTACTGATAAGTCAGCACCAGCACCTTGGTCCCACTAAAATTAAGTGTGATGAAGTCCTGTTGAGGGCAATAGAACTGGAAACAGTCATGACTTAAAGAGGACGAGATATCAACTAGCCTGCACTGGACTGAGGCCTAATTATGTCAGTTTTGTGTGTCTCCAAACTGAAGAGATGAGGATAGGAGTACTAGTTTACCAGTACAGTGATGCCTCACTTAACGATTGCCTCATTAAACGCCGAAACCGCTATACGATGACTCTTTTGCGATTGCAAAACAATGTTTTAATAGGCAAAATCCGCTTTGCAATGATCGGTTCCCTGCTTTGGGAGCCGATTCTTCGCATTACGACATTTTTAAACAGCTGATCAGCAGCTTCAAAATGGCCGCCCGCTGTGTAAAATGGCTCTCCAGTGTGTTTTTGGACGGATTCCTCGCTTTACCGGCACCGAAAATGGCCGCCCCTATGGAGGATCATCGCTGGACGGCGAGTTTTTCAGCCCACTGGAACGCATTGAACGGGGTTTCAATGCATTTCAATTGGATTTTTTATTTCGCTTAACAAGGATTTTGCTGTACAGTGATTTCGCTGGAATAGATTATCCTCGTAAAGCGAGGCACCACTGTAGTACTCTTTCCAGTAGGTTTTCCCTGCTTGTGCTGAGAGAATGATGAAGACAAATATACCCAGATGAAAAATCCTGGGTCAGTTTTTGAAAGTTTGAGTACTTTAACCAAACCAGATTAGATATAGTAGTAAGCATGCTGTCACTGAACATGTTTGGTTCCAAGCTTTTAGTTCCTCTTCCTAGTAGGATTTACCTCATCCCTTCTTACCTGAGGAAAACTTTAGAACAGAAGGAACTAGATGACCAGCTGCCATCATTTTTAGCAGCAGCACATTTGCTGCCATGTGTAATTTTCAGTCATGTAAAGCTTTAATAAAAGGTGTTAAATAATTCATTCTGTTTTGTAGCACTGTCTTCCTAAAAGCAGAAGAGATTCATGAGGGTGAGATTTTTCAGACGTGTTGATTAGATTATTAATAAAACAGTGCGGCGCTGAAGTACAGCCAGTTGTGAGTATAGGATGAATCTGTAGAGGCATAACTAGCCCCAGCTAATTTTTTCATCCTGCAGAAATAGACAGGTGACAAGTGTATGTGCATGATTCCTTGCCTACTGTATTGCAACAAATGTCTCAGGATACATAGCATCTCGTTGTGTGATACTGGACATGGTAAAAGTGGAAATCCAGTACCTGTGCACCACAAGCAGATCATCACTCTGCCCAAGTGAGCCAGAGCTCGTATAACCTCTGTCTCACCTGCACTGTTGTCAGTGTGGGTTTTGCTTGCACAAGGAGATATTGGACGCCTCTTTCCACAGGCTTCAGAAAATGCAGAACAGGACAGCAAGATGCTCGCCTAGATATTTAGTGTTTTATTTGGGGATTTGTTTTGTCCTTTTTTTTCTTTTGTAATCATTGGCAACTGGACATGTGGTTGACTACTTGTTGCTATTGCATTAGTTTTTTTTTTAAATTTGGAACTACCTCCTTTTAATAATACAGTTCAAATAACATTGAAGTATTTGATCACCAGCAAATGAACTCAGAAGTTTTGCCCTCTTTTTTTTAACTAATGAAGATTACTATAATAAGATGAATCATTCTTGAATTTCTTCTGAAATCTGTTTTTTTTTTAATGTGAATAATGATTTACCTATCTTGATGTGGAATATTGGATCTAAATGGTACTTAATAGATTGTTCCCTGTATTCACAGCATTGTGACTTTTCTTTAAATTCAAAAGTACTTTGTTGATATAAGAATTTTATGAATTGACACTATGACTAATTATGGAATATGTGGTATTTTATTTTAAAATATGAACATTTTAAAATTTGCTTTTAGAGTTCAGTGTTAATAAGGTTAATGACTTTGATAGAAATTAATGAAAGTTTAGTATTCTGTTTTTTCTCCGGTACCAATTTGCTTGGAATGGCATAAGTATAAGCAATACTAATATTGACCTTTAATAAAGACAAACAATAGGTCTAACTTTATATTTTTCATTAGATTTGCCAGGGTCTGATCTCCAATGTATACATGTCTGTGTCTGTATAAAGTAGTAGGCTGTGTAGACGTGATAAAAAAAGCATTTGCACTAATTTGTAAACATGGGTTTATTCTTTCTCCAAGATATTCTTTTATATTCACATAAAAACATTTGAAATTAGTTCTCTTGTCCTTGGTTCTTTACGTATTGAACTAGCAACTAAATGCATAGCATTGTCAATTCCAATACATATACGTAACAGCTTGAGCCTAGGGTTAAGCCTAAAAGCTAATTGTAAAATGCATGATTTAATAAGGAAAATGACCTCACAGAGCAGTTGCAGCAGTAGTGCAGCTGTATAGGTTAGGCCTGGGCACTGATTAGATGCTGGTGAAACAACAGTAAAGTATTTTTTTAACCATTACATTTAGTAAAACAGAAGGCTATATTCACGCTACTGCGAAAAAAATTAGTTAAATGGTATAAACCAAATGTCTGAACTAAAAATACTGTTCAAACACATAACTTTTATTGGTATTGGATAATGTTGCAGTAATCTAGCAGTACTGCAGTGGAACCAGTTACCTCGAGAGCTCCAATGAGTGCTCCAGCACTAGAGGCGTTCAAGAGAAATTTGAACAACCACCTGACAGACGTTCTTTGTCCTCAATTTCTGCATTGAGCAGGAGGTCGTATTCAATGTTGGAAGTTGGACTTCCAGCTTCATCATTCTATAGAATAAGGATTCTATGATTATCTGTGAGCTGCTACTGTGCTGTGGTGGTTAGAGTGACAGACTGCCCTTAGTATAAGATGGCTAAATTTGGATCAGTTTATCGCTGGGTTGGGCAACAAGTAGCTGTAGAGTTGCATATGGCCTTCTGCTTAATGTGAAAATCTTTCTACAGATGAACTAGGCAGACTCATGACAAGACTGCTTTGTCTCTCTCAATAACCTGATGGGTGAGAAGGATCGGAGAGTGGAAAGAAAGGGGGGTCCTGGGTACTGCCCAAACAAGTACTACAATCTTCAAACACACTTACTACCATCTGTAGCTGCCACCNCCCCCCCCCCCCCCCGGCTTATAGACCTTGACAGAAAAAGACTTTACAAAGCATTTGGATGTGTATATGTTTGTGTTACATTTTAAATCATTTCATATTTAGAAAATAAGTTTCTTGGTAGGCAGTCATGGCAAAAATACTAATTTCCACTTCTCGTTCTTCTTTTCCTTCCACTTGTACTAGCGGAGTCCTGAGTGTAACCCTTTGCACAAGTGGAAATTCATGATGTCACTATTAGGACAATCTGTCTTTAGGCTGTGTGTTTGCTAACGAAATGCTAGCCAAGGTAAGCATCTATGGTTGGCTAGAATATGATCAGAAGCTTGAAGAGCTTCTTCATAGGTGTGGAAACAAGATAGAAGAACATCTTTTTTTAAAGAAAGAAAAAGAACTTTAAAGTTGCTGAATTTACTAATCAAACTTCCAACTGGGTTGTGCTCTCCCAAATTTTATCAGTCCAGATCTGATCAGAAGATATAAGAACGTTTCCAGTTAATGTGCTGTATATGATCTGCTGCCTACCCAGTCTCCAGACAATTCCAAAAAAGAAAGAGACCACTTTCATCATTAAGAATTAGTCAGAATCTCAAACCCACAAGTGGACAGTACCTTTCTTATAATTAAATAAGAATTCCAAAAACAAAAGGATGGGGAGGAAAGGAAAGGAAATGGTTTAAGTTCTCCAGAACTGACTGTCAGGCTTGCTTCACAGCTGGAGTTCAGGAGAACCCTAGGATTCTGTAGGTAGAACACATTCAAGGGTCCCACAAGGAATCTGCTCAAGATGGTAAGGTAGCACCCCTGCTGCTCATCTTGGTGCACTGAAACCTCGCAAGACAATATAAAGGAACGGTCCAGTGCCTTGCTGCTGGCTCATTTGACCTGCTCGGTCACTTCATCTGCAGTGGACAGCAAACCATTCCTTCTGTCTCATGGGAATTTATTAGACTGTACAGTTCCTGTATTGAACAAGGTATCAAAGTATATCTTAAAGATTAGCACCGAAATCACAGCACTACTTAACAGGTGGTGTTTCATGTTTGAGAGATCATGGTTGTAAACAAAGTCCATGTTTAATTCCCAAAGTCCAAGCACAAAACAAAAAGCACAATTTACAAACGGCGTGACATTAAAAAATAACTCCTGCTGTGATGCTCTTCTAATTATGTTTTATTTGTAGCATACAGTTTGACTGAAGGAAAATCATCATAACGTGCCATCCGGTCAATTCCGACCTCTGGTGAACCTTTTCAGGGTTTTACAGGTAGAGAATACTCAGAAGTGGTTTGCCATTCCCTTCTTCTGGAGTCGCCCTGGGACTGTGCAGCTTGCCCAAGGACACACAGGCTGGCTCTTATCCCAGGAGGCATATGGGAAATCGAACTGCCAGTCTCTGGCTCCGCAGTGAGATTC